TTTCTAGTGGACACCAACTTGATTTTAACCAAGTTCGCCTACATGGTAGGCGACCTTCATTTTTTTTTATTATTATTTTTTTAAAATTTGATACTTGTTATCCATTAAAAACGTGACACGTCAGCAAACCGAGTTCGCTACACAGGGTAGAGAACTTGCCCCGGTGGCATATTGGAAAATAACACTGTTCGCGTGGCATTTAGGTAAAAAAATTGGTGAACAGTGGCATTTTGATCGGTGTTCCACCATCATCATTGGGATATGATTATGCTAGAGTTTTCATGATGGTAGCGATGGGAAGTCGCAATTCTTATAGTGGGCAGTGGGCATTGCCAAGAGAACTACATAAAGCCTAAGGGAAATTGTCATCTTGACAAGTAATACAATGACTGAGGAATGTCTACTACTCATTTGATTATGGAATTAATTAGTGTTATAATATCTCAAAAAACAGAAAAAGAGAAAAAATACCTTAACGTGAGGGATAATGAAACTCAGATAACCAAAGCTTCAAGGACTAAGACTAGTCTCTCTGATTATTACATGTCAAATGCAGGAGAGTCTAACATGATCTAACCCTCACAAGAAAGCCTCTCCCGTATAATATTCATCACTTCTTGTCACAGAGTCAAGTTTTGCAATAAATATACTAAAGCATACAAAACTAAACCAAGTTTATATTCTAACAATTATAAATATCAAAAGTAAACCAAAAAAGAAGCTGATTCTGAAGAAGAGGTTGTGGAAACAAAATGAAAGTTCCCGAGACCGCCAAAACGTATGCTACGCCGTGGAAGGAGGCGCCCCGTCACCCTTGCCAGCGCCGCCGTGTATTCTCCCAATATCTCCGTCATGCTCGCTACCATTATCATATTTCGTGCTTCGTTCTTTCTTGGAAGCAAAGAACTATTCAGAGAGGAAGAGGAGTCTTCAGGGTGCTAGAAAGCAAGGTTGTTTTTCTTTTTATTATACGGGTCTAGTAGTTATTACGTGTGGACTTCTGCCAGGAAAGTTTTGAATTGTGGGGTTGAGAAACTGATGCCACATATATATATAAAGAATAAGATATTAGGCAAAAAAAAAAAAAAAAGGTTTGAATTCGGAATACACAGGGGATTAGGCACATAATAATTAGCAGATTTTTATGTGATGATTACCACAATGATGATATAACATGTAAGATATTATGGGACCATATCGAAATTAGAAATTGATTCACGTACTGTTCATTTGGTTGGACTCATTCAATTTCTTGTGAATGGTAGTCATTATCATGGTAATAATGAAATTATTTTAATAATGTTTTTGTATGACTTTGTGTGACCATGTGTTCTGCCTAGCATATGCTTACCATCACCATCACATGGGTTTGGCAGAACTGATGAATTGCGAGCGTCAAATACGTGATAATTGAGTGTCTTATTATGTTAGAAATGCTCCTGTGTGAAACTATGATCTCACTAATGATTTTATATTATATTTTTTTTAATATATATATTAAATTTCTCTAACACATACTTTATACAAAAGCTCATTGAATTTGAAGTACTGATAATATATAAGCCTACCTAGTTGCACTTGGTCACAATATTATATTAAAGAATCATCTCTCCTACAAATTTAAGCTATTAAATAAAAAGTACTCTAATGATTTTCTATTAGATTTCTCTTATGAATGTCAACCAGTTACTGCCACTGACAGGGAATGTGCTGTGATCATGATGGTCATAATTGGAAACAGGGTTAATAGTGTGAAGGAGAGGCTCATCATCTTCATGTTGTTGTGAGATTAGATTGAACGAAGAAACCACCAAAATTGCGATACATGTAGAAGGGAATAATGCAAGAACAAAGAAGCCCAAATGATTGGAAAAAGCAATTATATATATACAAGTGAGGTAGGGAATGCATCCAATCCCAGATTTAATCTCATTTTTTCTCAAGGCAATTATTCCTGTCTTCCCTCCAACTGGTCGCTTTACCCTTTAGAACAGAAATAGGATCTAGTGAAGACCTTTTTCCATGCTTTCAAACTTAGAGACCGAACCTTAGTTAAAGCTAAATAGCGCTTAAAATCCTTGTGATGAAGGGGCGGTGGTGGAGGTGATGAAGATGCGGGTGAGTTTGACATCATATTTGTTGCAAATTCCCCATATTGTCCCCTTTTGTTTACTGCGTATACACCTGTGGTCAAGATTGAGAAAGTAGTTATTACCAGTTACAAATATGGGTTTAAAGTTTCTACTTTAATAACTTTTATCAAAATACACATATAAAAATGAGACAGGACCATCATACACCGGTGTAAGAATAATAAATCTTACACCAAATCTTAACCATTGATTTTCTACATCTAACGGTTAAGATTTATTGGGTCTTACTTATTAATTAATTTTTAATTCTCAATAAATCTCAACCGTTTGATACACGGAAATCAACGGTTAAGATTTGATGTAAGATTTATTATTCTTACACGGGTGTAAGTTGATCCTATCCCTATAAAAATATATGGAGCTCATGTCGACTCATGTAAAGAGAAGAGATAGAAAAAGAAAGCATGGATCCTACACAATTTTATGTGTATATTTTAATAATATTAGATAAAGTTATCTAAAGTAATTTTAGAAGTTTTAAACCCTATAAATATATAGCTTACAATTTCATTAGAGGAAAATTTAAGAAGCTATATGAAGTTTTATTTAATTGGGTTGGTTCAAGGGTGTGTCCATAATTTTCTAAGGAAAGGAAAATTCACGGACAGTAATAATGTCACAGAAAGGGATAAAGACCAATATTTAGGGTATAAATTCAATGGCGTGCACTAGAAAAGGACTTATGACTGACAACCACCATTTCTTAGCTACACTAGAGGTTGTCAAATTTCTAGAACAAGTTTAAAAGAATGTAAAATCACATAACAATAGGAAAAAAAGACCTGATAATGCGTTTGACTTTGAAAACCAGAATTCATAAAAAATTGCCTAGTGCATTCATTTGTGTTTCTTTATCTTATTATCCAGGGATTAATTTGCTAAAAAATTCACAGTTCACAGCACTAAGCACCAATGTAATCAGAAATTGAAGGATATCCATGATTATTACTGGTAGATTAATTAATCTTACTGCATGTCATTCCTTATCGATCGATCATATAATTTTCTTACAATTTTCATTACATTTAATTTAATAATAAAACAAATTATCACTTGGTCATGGGCCATTAGTCACAGCCCACTGACTAATGGATGTTGCATGGACCCAAAAATAAGAACTTGGGAAGCCCATGCCAAGCTTGAGCACATGGGGCAGGATTTGGAATCTCAAGAAACTCGTACGTACATGACCAGCAAACTGCAAAACAACCAGCCACAAAATTCAAGAACAGATAATATACAACTAGTTAAACACAATGTATAGAGAAAAACTTTGCTAGAAGTTCAGACAGAAAAATAAATCTTCCCGAGTCTTCAGAGAGAGTCAAAGATGCTGTTGAAATGTCAAAACAGTTATTAATTTTCAATAAATTACAACGGTTAGATATACGAAAATCAACGATTAAGATTTAGTATAACACTTATTATTCTTATATTAGTGTTAAGTTGATCTTGTCTCGTGTATATATATATATATATATATGGATTTATCATTTCTAAAGCTGCTTAAGACAATGTTATCTCCGGCTACTAAATCATAACCGTACAAAGATGGATCAATGGTGATAAAGGAAGAGAGAGAAAAAAGGGAATCATAACCATTCAAAGGTGAATCAATTAATATAAGAAAATAAATAAACAAAACGACGTAGTTTTAGGGTGACCGTAGATAACATTGTCTCAACTCTCAAGCAACTTGAGAAATGTTTTTTCCTATATATATATATATATATATATATATATATATTATAATTTTGCCCTTCACAAAACTTTTTAGCTCTGCCATTAAGATGAGTTGATTGAGTTCTACATCACTTACTCACAGATACTTTGCAAAGCATGACAACTCAACTAGTTTCCTTTTGATTTAAGCCTTCCTCAGTATTAGTTGGTTCACATTTTTGTTTCAGTTGTCTCTTAGCTGCATATGAATAGAAGAGGGGCCTGTAGCACATCAAAATTTGAGCAACTTACACAGCTAAGGTCATGGAAGGACTATTCTTCAATATCAATTTTCGCAGAAATTCATTTGCAAGCCTGAATCCTTTATCTAAAATAAGAACAGAAAGGATCCTAATATATCTTAAATATTCATTCATAAATAGTCCGTAGCTGCAAAATTTCTTTTTGTGAGATTCCTATGATGGGACCTTTTTTACCCATATCTTCCACCCCAATATCCAACAAAACTTATACTTCTCAATCAAATGAAAATAAACTTTAGAAAATGATTTATAATAAGCCTTTATTATCCTAAAGCAAGAGGATATGAAGAGTGCTAACAAATCTTCTTGCAAGTAGTATACGTGGATATACATTATATGAACCTTTTGTCATCATTTTCTCCTTCCCTATCCTCTTGTATATTTTATGATCATTTATTATGATCTCAGTTTATGTCAGAGTACAAAGTTGGTAATAATGTGGGCATGTGGGCGAAAAAGTGTGGGCTCTTGGACGTGGCACAGTCAAGGAGCTTTTGCTTTATTCATATGTTTTGTCAGCTATGTATGTCATCCATACCCCCATTTGCATAATCATCATCATCAATCTATAGAAGTGATTAGCGAACATCAAATTGATTAACTAAATTGAAAAGAAAAATTAAAAAACGTGAGGATACACATTTTACTAGCATTTGTACAATATTTATGTGTCATTATGTAATAATATATCGTACATACATAAAAAGACAGAACGATATATTATTATTAACTAACATATGATATGATCATATGTGATTTCAGTTGACACCTTCTTGATGTTGGTGTTACTTAAAACTAGTTTGAACCCTTTCTCTTTTTCTCTTTTTCATTATCTCTCTCTTTCTTTGATGCAGTGATGAATTTATGAAATGCAGCATGCATTGGGATTTTCATCGCTGAAGAGCTGAGGGGGTGGGATTTGTTCAATCACATAAAATGGCTGGGAATAGTACATCATCCTCTTCATGCCTTCCTCATCAATGTTAAGCACCATTCCATTCTGATCACCTACTTCTTTCATGGTTTCTTCTTTGCCTTCTTCGCCACCCTTTTCTTCTTTATTCTCATTCTTATCGTCACCACCTTCACCACCCTCTTCTTTCTTGGGTTCCTCGGCTGGTTTCTCCTCTGCTTTTTCTTCAGGTTTAGCCTCTTCTGCTGCAGGTTTCTCAGCTTCTTTCTTTTCTTCTTTCTTTTCTGGTTCAGGTTCTGGTTGGGGAACTATCTTGGCTTGCTTTTTGGTGCGTCTATAGACAAAATCAACCAGCTTGTCTGCATCCATGGTTCCTGTCACAGTAACCTTCCCTGTGCTAAGCTCTGTCACAGCTGTTTGAACTCCTACATTAACGAACACAAATTTTCACATTAACTGCAGATACATATAGCAATAATTATACACTGATACACAACTTTGTCCAATACTTGTGGCGCAAGCCAAAGGGATGAGACTAAGTAAACTAATTTGATTTTTTAGACATGATATATATACATATCTTTCATGTATAAAGCATGATTAGCTTGTTCAAAGTGTTAAAACAAAATGTTAGGTGAATGTCATTAGTAGTTTTTAAACTATGTTCATTTTTTTTAGTTGTATTTGTAATAGAGATAAAGTCGTCACATCATTGCCAACCAATTTGAAGAGAAGTATGTCACGTAAGGGGTCCACTATCAAAGTGCTAAATAGGTAATCTGGGAGGGTACAATGCGTGAAAGGATGGTCATGCACATATCTAGGAGTGATGATTCATCCTTTATGAGATCCCCTTTCTAATATCTTATTGTTAAACAGTTCATGGAGTTGGTTTGTCACAATCTCAAAACTTCATTGGCACCACTAAAATTAATCATTAACAAAGCAGCTCTCAATTTCTTTTCCTTTTTGTCTGTCCTTCTCAACTACAACCTGTTGGGTATGGCTCATACTTCGCATGCTGACGCGGGTCTTATTTATCGGGGTCAGCAGAAAGGCAACTGGGGTTAGGGTTTTCTAATCCTATTTATATTTTCCTTGTAAACCGAGTGACTTGTAATGAGTGACGATGAAGTGAATATAGTACAGACAAGCTGGACGTAGTCTATATTGGGTGAACCAAACTCTCTTTTTCTTTTCCGTTTTCCAACACAACCAACAATGTAGCCAAACATTGAAATGAGGAGATAAGTATTACCTCTCATTTTGAGTATCTTTCCCTGGAGTTGCTCAGCACAGGCCTCACAGTGCATGTTTACATTAAGTTCCACAGTAACTGGTTCACTAACCTGGAACAGCAACCAATTACATACTATTCATTAACTATCTAGATATAGTTTAGCTTATCTTTTCTTCTGCAACCAGGAAAAAGAAATCTTGAGAAACCTGAGAAGTAACAACTTCTGGTATAGGTTCTCCTTCTGCTTCAGGCAATGGAGATATAACTTTGGCTCTTCTCTTTGTTTTCTTCATAATTATGTTGCAGATTGCTTGAGGCTCCACTATTCCCTTTATGGTCACTTCATTTTTAGCCATATTAATCACCACTCCCTCAACTCCTGTTAGAAGATAAATACAAATGAAAATGAGTGCACATGCATGCATGACATGTGGAATCAAAAGCAAAGAGATGGGTCATGACAGATTGAGAACCTCTCATTTTCATAACATATTTTTCAATTTTCTTGGCGCATCCCGTACAATGCAAGTCCACAAACAGCACACATGGAGATGGTGGTTTAGGCTCTTTCTTCTCCTCTGCTGGCTTTGACTCGGCCTTGGGTAAGGAGAACGAAAACTAGTCAGAACTAGCCCTGAAATCTGTAAGAAAAACTGAGAAAGCAGAATGCAAAAAAATGAAGTTTCACCTGTTTTGCTTCCTCACCCATTTGTTCTATGAATCGAGAATGAGAAATCAAATTAGTATTCTGATTTGGGGAGAGAAAGGGGCCTAAACATACAAGAGATGAAGAGGGTTAAGAAGTAAAGAGAATACAGTTATATCACAAGGAAGGGGTAGGAATATGATAGATGGCCGGTGGGTGATTAGCACATAAAGCTAAACTGAGTTATTCCAGAGCACATGCAGTGCCACCAACTGCATAGAACCTCAGTTTAATATTTCTTTTTGGAATTATTTTCAATCTTTAAGGTTGAAGGTAGAAAGGGGGAGAAAGCAATGAAGCATGGTTATCAGATTTATAGACATAGCTAGAGGGGGGATATTATTGGTAAAAGGCCAGGAGGGAAAGGGAGAAAATGCAGCTTTGAAAATGATAATACTGAAATGTGCAAAAGTGTGGGACCTCATTAGGACAACCTGGAGAGATACATAGTTTTGTGGATTACCTTAATACCAAGGTATTTGGAACTTTGGTTTGGGAACTTATTCTAAATCTGATGACCAATTTAATGTTAGTTTTATTCTCTCCACATCAGTAATTAGTGAATTGCTATACTACTAAGCAAATGACAAGGCACCACCTAATCTAAAATTATTAATGATGTAAAAGTTAAGATTCTCTGTCCATGTGCATTGTATATAACATTCTTAAACAATTTATTAGATTAGTAACATTCATCATCAATTCGAAGTTGCATCAGGTTTAAACTGCAGTTAACAGGAGTGGCAAGCTTTGGAATCAGTACCTAGCATAAGTCCAATAAGAGAATTAACTTATTTTCTTTAAAGAATGAATTTGATTAATTTAATATCGTTGAGAATCTTCTTCTGCTAACATAACTGCAAGCATTTTAAACTATTTGCTCACAACTCATAAAAATTAGTTTTGTTTTGTAATCTCCAAATTTGTTCTCTCTCTGCTGATTAATCATCCTTAGCCCAATAAGCATCGAACGAATGTACAAGGCTTGCTTAAAAGAGAAATTTCTTTGTTTATTTTTGTTTACCCCACCAGAATTCAAATCAAGATAATTTTTAATGAAAGAATAAGTGTCCAATCAAGTGAGTCACCTCATTAGTTAAAACACAGGTATATTAAGATTAAGATTTCTTAAAGATGAGGTCAAGTATTTTCTTTAGACATGAATTATATATTAAAAATGATATGAATCCGTCCAATCAAATGAAAGACTGAGTGGACATGAAATTGCTCACACATTTATTCATCCCATTCAAGCTTAAACTTGGAGTATGTGCCTAACCTAGTGTGTTTGACTACAAACGTTAAATTCAAGATGCAGTGTAATTATTAAAAGGTGGTATTAAACATCTTCTTCTGCCTTATACATAAATTTGATCATATACATAGCTTATAGCTTACCAATCAAATGAGCCAGATGTCATGAATGTGATCACAGATATATTGTGATTTCTTAAAATGAGACTAACAGATTAAGCATTCTCTTTCTACACGAATAAGTGCTTAAGCAACGCATTTCCCATTTTCATGACATATGGTTGGGATGAATGAAACGTGGGGATCTGAGAAATCGTTTGCATTTTGCGTGTAAAAACTAATACAAGAAAATTGATCACCACATGGGCTGTTTGTTACCTTTCTATTTTCTATGACAAGCTTAAAATGTCTCTTTCTTGGTTTATTAATCAATTCCCTCTTCCTCTATAAGAAATAGTGACTAAATCCATATACAAAAAAGTGAACATTAAACACTGAACATTATGATCTTACCAAACTATGCTAACATGTGAGATGGATTGGTTCATATCAAAGCCAAACGAGGCCCTTTTGAAGGAAAACTGAATTTAATCTTATCTAAACTTGGTTGTTCTCAACAGTTCATTTGAAAAGGCTTTGACTATATAACTGCATATTTTTTGGAACATTGCTGAAAGAAGAGTCACCACTTACTAGGTATATGCAGTATCACGTGGAGATGACTCATCATTGTACCCCTACTGTGTTAATTTGGTGAAGGATCCAACCACAAAATTCCAAAGATAAATTCTGTTAATGGATAGAAAGTTATTCTTTGATAATATTTTTTATTTTTTCATGACATTTTATTTATTTTTATAATAAAGTTTGGTCCTGATTTTGTTTGTATAATGTTAACAGTAAGGTGTTGAGCCTCATGAAAACTATCCAAATCTCTCTCACCAACAGTCCATTCCTAATGCCTTAAGTATTGCCCTGATTTTTAACATAGGTGTATTAATGTACTTGTTGTTAGCTGATAGGTTATGTATTGGTGTATTTGTTGTTAACTAATGGAGTGAACAAAAATGATATATGAAGCAATTGTAAATAATTTGATATTATTCAGTTACTTTAAATTCAAATTAACAAGGAGAGCCTTTGTTGTCTGTAGGTGTGGTGAGTATGTTTGGGTTTGATTCGGTTTTTTTATATCAAACTGTATTATTTTAAAAAATATTTCGGTTCTTAAATCGGTTTAGAAAAAATAATTTAATTAGTAAATTAGTTTAAAAAATATAATTTAATTTGGTTCGATTCAGCTGGTTCTTTTTACGCTTTTTGACATGAATATGGTTTGATTTGATTTTCTATTTTGCACTAATGATTCATTTCATAAAATTCAACCGGTTTTGAAAATAATTCGATTCTTGAACCAATTCATTTAATTCTTAAATTGGTTTGAAAAAAATATAACTCTTCCAATGCAATTTAACTTGATTCACATTTCAGTTTCAATTATTTTATTTTATTTTATTTTTTCACACCGACTTTTAATTAGCTATATTATTCTTTTAGGTCTAGATTATATTAATTAAATATTATGTTTCTTTTTGAATAAATCACATGTATCTTTTACGGAAGCCAATTCTATTTGGGACGAGTCTATGATTAAGGTTTTAAACCCCTTCTAAACATAAGACATAACAAGTTAAGTATATTAACTATCAGATAAAAAGGCTGAGCAACCACCAAATATATGAATAAATTGTTTGGGGATTATTCTAACTTAATCAATAGTCTTGAGTTTAATTATATACATCTATATTAAAAATTCGATAAAAAGAGTTTTGTTACCATTATAATCCTGTCTTACTCTAATCTAATAATCAATGAATAAGCGGAGAAATCTCTAAAATTAAAACAAGAGAATGATAACAATAAAAAGTGACAATAAAAATTACAGTGCTTTTTGTTATCAAAAAAAAAAAAATTACAGTGCTTTTTTACCAAAAATAAAAATAAAAAATTACAGTGCTAAATTGGTCGTGACCCGTGAGTGGTTTTAGCATAATCAATGAATTAACTATAGAATGAGGATGTTCTAACTGCCAAAAATTATCACGACTAACTTATTATCCATCACATCACCATTGAATGAAAGAGAGAATGTTAAAAAGTTTTTGAAGAGAGAGAGAATATTAATCTAATAGTGATTAGATAGGTAGTAAGTTGGTAGTGAAAAATTTTGGTAGTTAAAATATCCCTCCAACTAACTATAATATTAATTAGATTCTCTCCTACAAGTTAGTGCCATGTACTGTAGCTTTTTAGAATTTGCATTAAATGTAAAAACAAACTTTGTTCGTGGTGACCTTATACATATATTTGAGGAAAATATAGTCTGTAGGATATTAATATTTTATGTTATAGATACAAAATATGTAGGTCTATTTTTTTAAAAAAAGTAAAAAATAAATAAATGAATGGATTCTACATATTTTGTATCTATAATATGATATCCTAATCTTCCATAACATGATATCAATATTCTCCTTTATTTATACAGGGGTATTAGTTTATGGTGCAACGGGAAAAACTTTCCCAACCTACAAAGACAACAACATGTGGAGTCACCGTAAAAAAAAAAAAAACACATGGCATAATTTTTTATAAATGTGTAAGAAGGTATATTTTTCTCCGAGCCAAGTTTATGAGCTCCCGGAACAAAAAGGATTTGGTGGGATTGAGATGAAAGAAAGAAAGAAAATGTTGAGAAAGGAGTGGAGAGAAGGAACAAAAAAAAATTGGTTCAAGGTGTCAATTTTTTAATGAAAAGACTATGATGGTCCTGAACCATATTAAAAAATTTCTTTTTCTCCTACCTTATTTATATAATTCAACCCGAAGGTTTGAATTAGCTAGGGATGGTATATAAAAAATGAGTTTAGTGTGTGTCATTTAAAATGATATAAGTTGTGTTCTTTTAGTGACTTACACAAAGTATGATCGGTCATATTTTATATAAATATAAAAAATTATTTTTTTTTCAATTTACATGTCAGCGATGTGATTGAGAAGAGAAAAAAAAATAACTTTTCAGATTTACACAAAGTATGACAGGTTATACTTTGTGTAAATCACGTAAAAGGACACAAGCTTTAATCCTTTAAAATGATACTTTTTTTTTTCATAAAAAATATATAATTCAACCCGAAGGTTTTTCGGCTCCTAGCACAAAATATTGTAATTAAAATTACTAAAAGTTTGTACGGTTTAAGATACATTACAGGATCGGTATAAGAAGTATGATTCATCTATGTGTAAAAATACTTCAAGAGATGTGATGGTGATTATCAATGCTACGTTAAAAAATTTGGTGATCACTAATTTTTTTTTTTTTAAGAAATTAAGAAATTAAGTTGTTCTCTAATTTAATATATACGAATGAATAATTATAAGTGAGTGACATGCTTAATTAATTGGAAAAACTTCAAAAAAATGCTGAAACTTTTCTCATAATCATTTATTCCTCTGACTTAAAGATTTTTTATCATTTATCCTCCTAAGTGAGTGGATACCGGGATAAGTGATAAAAAAAATTTAAGTCAGAGGATAAGTGATAAACATTTTTAAATAAGTGTATAAATGATTTAAAAATTTTGTGAGAGGGGTAAATGATAATTGAGAAAACTCATAAGGATTTTTTTTAAAGTTTTCCCTAATTAATTTTGAGGATCTAGCACTAAAGAATCAATCAACTTAAACAA